CCCTGCCCTGTTTGGACATTGTGTGTCCTTAACACTAAACACCGTCAGTTTGTGCAGTTTGGATTTAGCAAATTCCGACTTTTTAATGTTAATATTCCTCCTGTTTCTCCCGAAATCATTGTTTGAGCCCAAGCCCAAGTGAAGTCTAATTAAGTCATTTCTCGGGTATTTTGCAACTCATGTTTTCTACACACTGGAGATATTTGTTTGTGCAACCTTCACCCAGCCTCCATTGAAGGGAGATAATGTACGTTTACAGAGTTATGTCCCCTTGTCAGAACATTATGAGTGCTAAGACAATGAACTGGCAATGCAGTGTCAGCATTGTGGATATATTGTTTCTCTTCATTTTATCATGATTTTTACTGTTTGACATCAATTGTGAATTTGTACACGGAGTCCAGTGTGTCGATCTCTATAACAATGTAGTAGACCAGTAGACAGTAGACAGTAGACGAGCTACAGCTTGTAGTTACCACGGCTCATCAATTGTTTGACATCAATTGTGAATTTGTACACGGAGTCCAGTGTGTCGATCTCTATAACAATGTAGTAGACGAGTAGACAGTAGACAGTAGACGAGCTACAGCTTGTAGTTACCACGGCTCAGATAGATGGTGTCAACAAACTTTGATCTCTTTCTACTTTTTCTGGTCACCATGGTTACCATTTAATTGGTTGCTTTGGTTCTCGTTTGACGAGTTGCCATGGTTACAAATGGAATGGTCACCCTGGTTACAGAATGACCGGTTGTCATAATGCATAGTAAGTGTTTATACAACTGCATCATATACCTTGTGAGTTTACATGTTTTATTTTCAATTCTTTGGTGCCTTTGCTTGTAGAGTCATAATTTTAAAATGTGAAACATTTTGTCTATGTTAGAAATTGATATATAATATCAAATTTAGCATGTCATTGAAAACCTGATTGAAACTAGATACCATAGCAACAGTGATGGAAAATGATTCTCATATCTGTGGGTTGCCGTGGCAACAACGTGGTGTACTTGGTGGATGTGACAATGTAATGAAGGTTTATCCTCTAGCCACTCCAAGTCATCCTCCATTCAGAAGACAACACTGCTTTCATTGAGCAGGACACATTTTGCTCAGGCAGCAGACACTATCAGGGCAGCAGACGTCACACAAGCAGACGTCAACACATCTGTCCAATGAAGCAGACGTCACACATCTGTCCAATGAAGCAGACGTCACACATCTGTCCAATGAAATCAGATGTCACACACATCTGCCCAGTGAAAACAGACGTCACACATCTGCACAGTGAAATCAGACATCACACATGTCTGCCCAGGGCAGCAAACATCACACACATCTGTCCATATGAAGCAGACGTCATACGCCTGCCCAGTGAAAACAGATGTCACACACGTCTGCCCAATGAAGCAGACGTCACACATCTGCCCAGTGAAAACAGATGTCACACACGTCTGCCCAGTGAAAACAGACGTCACACATCTGCCCAGTGAAGCAGACGTCACACATCTGCCCAGTGAAAACAGACGTCACACACGTCTGCCCAGTGAAAACAGACGTCACACATCTGCCCAGTGAAGCAGACGTCACACATCTGCCCAGTGAAAACAAACGTCACACATCTGCCCAGTGAAAACAGACGTCACACACGTCTGCCCAGGGCCGCAGATGGCGATTGCCCCGAGATTTGCCCCGAGATGTGCCCCTGTGTCGTAGTTGTCCCTGTTTATCTTCATTTGTGTTGTCACCACAGAAAGTCTGAAGTCAGGGTCAGTCGGAAGCACATCACTTTTGTTTTGGGCCCGTGTGCGAAGAAGTCATAATATGCCTGTAATAATACACTCATTATCACTCGGATCACCCAGTGTCCTCGGGAGACAGGACCAGCCCCAAGCCTGTAAGACCAAGGTGCTATAATTCAATATCATGATGATTCCTGGTATTGAGATTTCACTCTGTCATTGCGTAGCTGAATAGTGCTCAGATTAATACACCCCATAAGGGCCAAAATGTGTTTTCTTGCAGCCCTGATCATGTATTCTGAACCAATAAGCTGAAGTCAGCCAGGGCACCTGCTTCTGTATCTCAGGCCCTGACTGTGAATAATCACTACACCAGGTTGTTACAATACTCATGTATATCTACACCTTATTACCGATCTTCCCGAAGCAAGTGAGTGAACTGACTATAAAAGTCCAGTTTCCACCCTTGCCAAACTAGGCTGGTATTATGGAGTTACAGTTTGGCTGGACTAACGAGTCCATGCATACTCCAATCAAAATCGCACTCCGAAATCGAAATCCGGTTCGTAAATTGTCATGCAAAATTTGGTCGATTGCAAGATTTGCAAAGCATGTGCACCACTAACTCATTATCAATAGATATTTTCTAAATCTTTTCATGTTTTTAATAAAGGTGCTCTCGTGATTTGATGCACTTCGCGGCGTAAGACTCGTTTTATCATAAGTTATGGATCTTGATTATCGATCAGATCGTCTTGACTGGGCCACTGTTTTGTTTGAAGCAAATGCAAGTGATACGAGAGGTGGAATATGATTGGTCTATAGGAGAGGCATAACTCGTAACAGCCACTGGTGGCGCTACGATTGAGCGCAGGAATTCCAGCCTAGTTCGGCAAGGGTGGAAACAGGACTTTTTAAGTCAGTTAACTCACTTGCCTCGGGAAGATGCTTATTACCCTGCTGTGGTATTGCGCACCATATTGCCAAGCTGTTGTATATATGCACGTATTCCCCAGTGTCTGCACCAAGCTCCGTGTCGTCCCCTGCAGCACTTGTGGAACGGATGCCACAGAGAAACAAGACCAATTCTATTTGAGAATGAAAGGTTTATATTAGGTTGTGTAGATTGTGTTACGGAGATTTCTAGGAAATAAGCATATCATTGTAGTACATAACAGCCCAAAGTTGCCCCTGGCTGTTTTTTCTGTTAGAGTTTTTCCTGACAGGACTAGGTTGGGGTGACCTAACATGACTGGGTCATGGTGACCTGACAGGACTAGGTTGGGGTGACCTAACACGACTGGGTCATGGTGACCTGACAGGACTAGATTGGGGTGACCTAACACGACTGGGTCATGGTGACCTGACAGGACTAGATTGGGGTGACCTAACATGACTGGGTCATGGCGATCTGACAGGACTAGGTTGGGGTGACCTAACACGACTTGGTCATGGTGACCTGACAGGACTAGGTCACAGTAACCTAATATTACTGGGTCATGGTGACCTGACAAGACTAGGTAGGGGTGACCTAACACGACTGGGTCATGGTGACCTGACAGGACTAGGTTGGGGTGACCTAACAAACTGGGGCATGGTGACCTGACAGGACTAAGTCACAGTTACCTAATATTACTGGGTCATGGTGACCTGACAGGACTAGGTTGGGGTGACCTAGTATGACTGGGCCATGGTGACCTTTCAGGACTAGGTCACAGTAACCTAACATGACTGGGTCATGGTGACCTTTCAGGACTAGGTCACAGTTACTTAACACGACTGGGTCATGGTGACCTGACAGGACATGTTTTCTGATATACTTGAGAACTCTTTGTTTGAGGAACCTTGAAAGTGTGTCAGTGTTGTCATTGATCCATTCCACGGTGTAGGTGAGCTGGTAGGACAGTAGCTGTAACAATGTAAGTTGCACCTGTCATTGTAGCAGTACATGATGTTGTAGCTGATGCAGGTGGCGAGGTCACTGTGCCTTCTCTGTCTGGCCTTACTGTCGTGTGATCTGTGATCTGTGATCTGTGATCTGTGTAACCTCCACTCATGCTTCCTGTGTTATTTGGTGCTGCATCAAAATTCAGCCAATCAGAAGCCTCAATTTCTACACCAGCCAATCAAATATCAACGGCAACTAATGATCATTTACGTTCCAGTTTGATAAATACAAAAACTTTCACATCAGCACTGTTTGATGCATCATAATTGAATACAAAATGTCAAACATTGAATCATGGAAACGTTTTTGGCACTAGCGTCTGGAATATTTTGGGTCACAGTGACCTAATACAACTGGGTCATGAAAGAACTCGTCAGGGTGACCCAACAGGACTGGGTCAGTGTGACCTACCATTACTGGGTCGGCATGACCCAACATGACTGGGTCGGTGTGACCTACCATTACTGGGTCGGCATGACCCAACACAGCTGTGTCAGTGTGACCTAACATTACTGGGTCGGCTTGACCCAACACAACTGGGTCGGCGTGACTGTACACTACTGGACCAGGGTGACCTAACATTACTGGGTCGGCGTGACCCAACACGACTGGGTCGGCGTTACCCAACACGACTGGGTCGGCATGATCCAACACGACTGGGTCAGGGTGACCTAACATGTTCTACTGAATCCAGGAAACTTGTGGGTTGCTGTGAAACTTGGCAGGTCAGATATTGTGTGTGACAACCATGTGTGTTTATGTATGCAGTGTATTGATAGATATTCACTTGACAGTGGATCCCATGTTGTGACACTGGCCGTGTCATCTGTACCATATAGAGTAGAAAATATCAGTGTGATCAGTTTACAATATCATGTTGATTGGTCAGTAGACAAAGTAGGTTTTTTAAATGTATAAACTACTACAACATTGATTTTAATACACTGTTTTCATTGTAGGACTTTTATAGTATAAACTGCTACAACACTGACTTAAATACACTGTTTTCATTGTAGGACTTTTATAGTATAAACTGCTACAACACTGACTTAAGTACGCTGTTTTCATTGTAGGACTTCTATAGTATTAACTGCTACAACACTGACTTAAATACACTGTTTTCATTGTAGGACTTTTATAGTATAAACTGCTACAACACAGACTTAAATACACTGTTTTCATTGTAGGACTTTTATAGTATAAACTGCTACAACACTGACTTAAATACACTGTTTTCATTGTAGGACTTTTATAGTATAAACTGCTACAATATTGACTGAATGTACTGTTTTCATAATTCTTTTACGTTTGCTACACTTTCCTGTAATGAATGTCAAATGACTAATTTAATTTTTTTTATGATTTTGCTTCAATACTGAAGACTATGATTGTTGCCATGGATACCTTAATTGTGCTTTCTTCTAGCAGCTATTACATGTTGATGTTGTGGTAGCTTGTCTGTCCTGTTGTCACCTATCACAGTGTTATCTTTAAAGTTTTCCAATTGTTGATACATTTTCAAATTTTATGACTGTGCAGGTGTTGAGGTCATGGCCTCTGGTATTGTTCCTGATCTCTTGCTGTGGATACAGAACGCAGCCTGTTAGGTTCTGGATGTTCTCAGCCTCAAGGAGAGCACCAGTAGTCTGTTCATCATAGCCCAGCTTCTAGTTTTCATGTTTTGTTGATATTTTTTTTAAATTTTATTTTATTAATAAAAATTAGAGAGGGGGTGTATTCAGTGTCAAAATAGTTTGTGTTGATATGTGGTGAATTCCTGAAAAAAACGCAAAGAAAAAACAGCATTTATGACTTATTTTTGTTAAATTTTGAAAACAATTTTGTCAATTATGTTCATAAAATAGAAAGGGATATTGCCTGGATCATTTAAGATGTAAAATTTACAAAAAATTGTGATGATATGAGATGATGCCCTAAAACCTACAAATTTTATGGTACAAAAAATGTTTTCACAGCATTTCTGAATATTTTTGTCAACTTTTGCTAAAATGTTGAAAAAAGGAATAATGTTGTTTGTTTTGAATCGACCTCCTGATGTGTGATGTGATGGATCTGTTTGTATGACCTGCTGTAATCTCCGCAGTGTTACAGAGTAACCTGTCTTAGATGCCTAGAAGTCACTGATGTGATGGTAACGAGTCTTTAGGACTTTAAAGTTTTGTAGTTCTCACAGAACGCTTCACTTGTCATCCCTAGCTTTTCCTCCTCAGGAGATATCGCTACAAGGGAATTGCCGACTAGTGGGACAGCATCAAATTACTTCTCTAATCTCTCTGTCACTGAAGCTGGTCAGCTGTAATGTTCACACTCTAGAGCCTTGTTAAAAACTTAAAAAGTTGGAAGAATGATTTTGGATGATAAATAGAATCTCATCCTTGTGTTATGATGCCAAATATGTGAACACTCATCCATGAAAGTTGAAACTCCTTGGAAAGCCCTTGGATGTTCAGCTTTTGTCTACTAGGGCTGGGACGGGTAACTCGGGTACCGGGGTAGTAAATTCGGACTCGTCCCAGCCCTAGTCTACTCGTGTTGATATATTTCTACCATGACGCTCGGGGAGATTCTGTATTTCCTCTTTTCCCCCATACATCACACCAAGACCTGGGTCTGATCCCCACAAGGTACAATGTGGGAAGCCCTACCGCCATAGCTGGAGTGTCAGCATTTGCAGAAATTGTGTAAAACTCGACTCCCACATTCTTGAGCTGTATTTCTTTACAAGGACTGTCAGTACCATTGTTGGCAAATTGCAAACTATTTTAATTCGGTTTGCCTGAGTTTAGCATGTATTTTCAAGGTGTAATGATCATACTGTGGCTGATCTACCGATTTGACCCGGTGGTGACCCCTGCACCTACCAACCACAGCCTGACAGTGTCTGCAGCATCTGCAGCATCTGCCCAGGAGCAAGTCTAGCAACATCTTCAACGCAGCGTGACTTGTAGCTTTAATCAATATCACCATACTGTTGTTACTTCTTCACCTAACGTTTAACCACGTCGGATAACATCCTTGTTTCATGTGTCGTTTGATTTGTCTGATTTAGTAATTTACGGCTTTTAGCTAGGTGGGTTTAACCCCTGCGGCCTGTGTGTGGTTCAGTGATGTAGATGTGGTAGATTCTACACCAGCTGTGTGCTGCATATGTACCATGTGATACGCACGTCTTGCTGTTACCTGTTGTATGTGTGTCACACTCAACCTAGACCTGGGTCACAGTGACCTGACAGGACTGTGTCAGGGTGACCTAACAGCTGGGTCATGGTGACATAACAATAAATGGCCATGGTGACTTAACAAGACTGGGTTATGATGACCTGACAGGTTTGTGTCAAAATGACCTTGACCACTCGGTGACCTAACAGGACGTTGTTTTGGGTAAATGAATAGGACTATTTGTGAGGGTAACTTTAACACAACTTGGTCACGGTGATCTCCTCCAGTGTCAGGTGACCTTGACCTAACACGACTGGGTCCTGTTAGATGCCCTGCAAGTCAGAGTTCTGATATTGAGGAATATGGTCTAGATTGAGTGAGACTACCTATTTTATCTGTTATTGGCTTGCAGAGTTTTATCCTATACATACATATATATATATGATACAGTGTTTATCCATCTACTTGTACAGCTTAGTATTGTGACTATATGTTTATATTCACTTGTATCATCCCTGTGTATGTGATACAGTGTTTATACATCTACTTGTACAGCTTAGCTCAGTGACTGTACTTCTATATTTGCTTGTATCATCCCTGTGTATATTCCCAGCTATTTTTCTACTCACTGTAAATACCCCACTATGTAATCTACATGAGAAAATCTACTGCAATAAATGCTTATAATAGACTGGTCTGTGTGTTGTGTAGACAGGTGCTTGTAGGGGGAGCGGAGGTATCTGTCTGTGTGTTGTGGGAGTGGAGGTATCTGTCTGTGTGTTGTGGGAGTGGAGGTATCTGTCTGTGTGTTGTGGGAGTGGAGGTATCTGTCTGTGTGTTGTGGGAGTGGAGGTATCTGTCTGTGTGTTGTGGGAGTGGAGGTATCAGTCTGTGTGTTGTGTATAGACAGGTGTTTGTAGGGGGAGCGGAGGTATCTGTCTGTGTGTTTGTGGGAGTGGAGGTATCTGTCTGTGTGTTGTGGGAGTGGAGGTATCTGTCTGTGTGTTGTGGGAGTGGAGGTATCTGTCTGTGTGTTGTGGGAGTGGAGGTATCTGTCTGTGTGTTGTGGGAGTGGAGGTATCTGTCTGTGTGTTGTGTATAGACAGGTGTTTGTAGTGGGAGCGGAGGTATCTGTCTGTGTGTTGTGGGAGTGGAGGTATCTGTCTGTGTGTTGTGGGAGTGGAGGTATCTGTCTGTGTGTTGTGGGAGTGGAGGTATCTGTCTGTGTGTTGTGGGAGTGGAGGTATCAGTCTGTGTGTTGTGTAGACAGGTGTTTGTAGGGGGAGCGGAGGTATCTGTCTGTGTGTTGTGGGAGTGGAGGTATCTGTCTGTGTGTTGTGGGAGTGGAGGTATCTGTCTGTGTGTTGTGGGAGTGGAGGTATCAGTCTGTGTGTTGTGTAGACAGGTGTTTGTAGGGGGAGCGGAGGTATCTGTCTGTGTGTTGTGGGAGTGGAGGTATCTGTCTGTGTGTTGTGGGAGTGGAGGTATCTGTCTGTGTGTTGTGGGAGTGGAGGTATCTGTCTGTGTGTTGTGGGAGTGGAGGTATCTGTCTGTGTGTTGTGGGAGTGGAGGTATCTGTCTGTGTGTTGTGTAGACAGGTGCTTGTAGGGGGAGCGGAGGTATCTGTCTGTGTGTTGTGTAGACAGGTGCTTGTAGGGGGAGCGGAGGTATCTGTCTGTGTGTTGTGTATAGACAGGTGTTTGTAGGGGGAGCGGAGGAATCTGTCTGTGTGTTGTGTAGACAGGTGCTTGTAGGGGGAGCGGAGGTATCTGTCTGTGTGTTGTGGGAGTGGAGGTATCTGTCTGTGTGTTGTGGGAGTGGAGGTATCAGTCTGTGTGTTGTGTATAGACAGGTGCTTGTAGGGGGAGCGGAGGTATCTGTCTGTGTGTTTTGGGAGTGGAGGTATCTGTCTGTGTGTTGTGGGAGTGGAGGTATCTGTCTGTGTGTTGTGGGAGTGGAGGTATCTGTCTGTGTGTTGTGGGAGTGGAGGTATCTGTCTGTGTGTTGTGGGAGTGGAGGTATCAGTCTGTGTGTTGTGTATAGACAGGTGTTTGTAGGGGGAGTGGAGGTATCTGTCTGTGTGTTGTGGGAGTGGAGGTATCTGTCTGTGTGTTGTGTGTGGACAGGTGCTTGAAGGGGGAGTGGAGGTATCCGTCTGTGTGTTGTGTGTGGACAGGTGTTTGTAGGGGGAGTGGAGGTATCAGTCTGTGTGTTGTGTGTGGACAGGTGCTTGTGGAGGTATCAGTCCGTGTGTTGTGTAGACAGGTGTTTGTAGTGGGAGTGGAGGTATCAGTCTGTGTGTTGTGTAGACAGATGCTTGTAGTGGGAGCGGGGGTATCAGTCTGTGTGTTGTGTAGACAGATGCTTGTAGGGGGAGTGGAGGTATCAGTCTGTGTGTTGTGTAGACAGATGCTTGTAGGGGGAGTGGAGGTATCAGTCTGTGTGGACAGGTACTTGTAGGGGGAGCGGAGGTATCTGTCTGTGTGTTGTGTGTGGACAGGTGCTTGTAGGGGGAGTGGAGGTATCCGTCTGTGTGTTGTGTGTGGACAGGTGTTTGTAGGGGGAGTGGAGGTATCAGTCTGTGTGTTGTGTGTGGACAGGTGCTTGTGGAGGTATCAGTCCGTGTGTTGTGTAGACAGGTGTTTGTAGTGGGAGTGGAGGTATCAGTCTGTGTGTTGTGTAGACAGATGCTTGTAGTGGGAGCGGAGGTATCAGTCTGTGTGTTGTGTAGACAGATGCTTGTAGGGGGAGTGGAGGTATCAGTCTGTGTGTTGTGTAGACAGATGCTTGTAGGGGGAGTGGAGGTATCAGTCTGTGTGGACAGGTACTTGTAGGGGGAGCGGAGGTATCTGTCTGTGTGTTGTGGGAGTGGAGGTATCTGTCTGTGTGTTGTGTGTGGACAGGTGCTTGTAGGGGGAGTGGAGGTATCTGTCTGTGTGTGGACAGGTGTTTGTAGGGGGAGTGGAGGTATCAGTCTGTGTGTTGTGTGTGGACAGGTGCTTGTGGAGGTATCAGTCCGTGTGTTGTGTAGACAGATGCTTGTAGTGGGAGCGGAGGTATCAGTCTGTGTGTTGTGTAGACAGATGCTTGTAGGGGGAGTGGAGGTATCAGTCTGTGTGTTGTGTAGACAGGTGCTTGTTTGTTGTTTAACGCCGCACTCAACAATATTCCAGCTATATGACGGCGGTCTGTATATAATAGAGTCTGGACCAGACAATCCAGTGATTGACATCATGAGCATCGATCCACTCTATTGGGATACAATGACATGCATCAAACACATCAGCGAGGCTGACACCTGATCCCGATAGACAGGCGTTTTTAGGGGGAGTGGAGGTCACGATGAGAACCTGTCAATAATAGGAGGCTTCTCATTCAGGTTGTTGTTCAACACCAGACGACAATATTCCTGCTTCATGATGACAGCCTGGACCAGACACTCCAGTGATTGACCTTGTGAGCAATCAACCAAGACGTCGAGCATGACCGTCCCATCCATTTACTTGCCTCAGTTCAGACAATGTTTCCAGGCAGGCTATCAGGTCTGAGACATCCAGGGGTTGACAAGAACAAACACGGACAGATTTACAAGCATTTACTTCCATCACAGCAGCTGACTACCTCATAGTATATGTACACCCAGTCTCTATTTACAGTGTAGAAGTCTACAGAGATATATACAAACATCCTACTGACAATAGCTCCACCATACATACAGTCTAACACTAGTGCTCATACAGTGGTGAGGATTCACACGCTGACATTATTCCATAGAGTTTATCTTGGTGATTATCATTCTCTTCAAATCATATTTGACATCAGTAATTGTTTCGTGAAGACTTTGAAGTTAAAGAAATATTAAATGACATTTTGAAATTATTGACAAGAGTTTGAATTAACTATATGAAGGGTTCTACATCAAAATACAAAAGTACAAAATGGGCGCTCCTGATGACAGGGTGAAGTGAGGGTGGGTCAGTGGCCACATCAAGGACAGCTACATCTGTGTCGTGGCAAAACATTCTGGACAGAGCCACATTTCAGTTTTGTCAGCCATGGCTGATAATGCATAGAAATACTGGACACGTGGAGCTTATACATAAGTCTGTGATAAATAAATCTTCAATGAAACAAGTTTAGAATAAAAACAAATCTGAAACATCTGGACGTAATAATTCAACAGAACAAAACGAATAAGTTACTTCCACTAAGAACTTGTCTTCCTTACATCGTGTTTGGAGGCCACATGCAGATGTGTTCACAGGGAAAATGAGACAGGAATTATTAGCATTACCACATGGCTGAAGAATCACATGAACATTTGTAAACACAAAGATAACGTGAAGAGTGCACAACTTGATGACAGTGTGGCCACTCCGTCGGTTGTGTCTGTATGTAAAAATGTTGGAGGGGGCGGGGCAGGGCGGGGCACTATCGGGCACTCTGGTCCCAGGCGGATTCATCAAAGGGGTCGATCTGCCTCTGTTTGTATGCGCCCTGGAACTCGGGGCCCAGCATCTGTAGGTCCTGGCTGTCCCGGATCACCCCCTGCAATACAAGCACCGGTTGTAGAGAAGCACATGCAACTGTGTCCTCAGTTGTTTCGATATCATACATTGTTATAGTTTTCCTTTGAATGCATGGTAGGGCTGTTACGATTCACTCACGTATTCGGTGAATCGAACCGTAACCATTCATGAATTGAATTCGTTATTCGTGGCCACTAGAATCAAATATTTATGAATATGCAATCATGTGTATTTACATACCCTGTACCTAAAAATATCCATAAGAACGTATTATATACATAGATTTCTTTCAATGACAACACTCTTACGATATTTAATTTGACAGTATTGTGGTCACTGGTCATTGTCGCATTTGAGCAGATACGAGTACCTGGATATGTGCAGTATATAAAAGTATAATATATTAATAATTAACAAACCATGTCAAATAATTTATGTTGTTATTGTTTCACTGACTATAATAATAATAAATCAACTGCTGACTTTTCATTGTATTTGTGAATTAATATTCGCATTCGTTACCCTATATTGGTGATATGAATCGTATTCGCCTCACAGTGTATTCGTCGCAGCCCTAATGCATGGACAGTCACATAAGAGTGAAACAAACAGTGAAAGGGGGACATTTTCATATCTTTCTGGCTAATGGATTCAACCGACCCTGGCAAGGTATTCCAACAGCCTGCCTGTGGGATATTGATCATACTGGACCTGACCTTAGCTGCCTATTGCTACTGACCTTGACCCCCCTCACAGATACTCCATGCTACTGACCTTGACCCCTTGATGCCCAATGCTACTGACCTTGGGTAGGTATCCCAGGAGTCTGCCTGTGTGACCCCTATTGCTACTGACCTTGACCCCCCTCACAGATACTCTATGCTACTGACCATGACCCCTCAATGCCCAATGCTACTGACCTTGGGCAGGTATCCCAGCAGTCTGCCTGCGTGTTCCTTCAGCAGCCTCTGCCTCTCCTCCTCGATGATCTGTCGCCGGAAGTCCTCCATCTTGACCTCCTCCTGCCTGGCCTCCACCTCCCGCTCCCTCTCCATGGCGTACTGCGCCCGCCGCTCGTCCAGCAGCGTCTCCACCGCACGCTTGTGCTCCAGCTGCTTCATGCGCCGCCGCTGGGCGTTCATCTGCTCGATGCGATCATCCTCCGCAAACTTGGCCAACATCTGAAAAAACAACACTTAGGATTCAGGTCCACTGAACATGAGTTAACATCAAATTGTTTACTTAAATTTGTGATAATTCATCCTGATATTATTATATTAGTGAACTTAGATATTTTGGTGGTAAAATGTGGGTATGTAGTACCTGTTGTCTGAAGACCTCCTCCTCGTCCTTCTCAGCCTGGAGCCGGAGAGCCTTGTAGTGCATCTGCTTGGAGTGGGTGGCCTGTAGGTCGATCCGCTGCCGCAGCTTGCGCTCCATCTCCGCCTGCACACACACACGTCACATCAGGTCAAAGTTCACAACCTTCTCCAGCATGTCAGCTCCATATTTCGTAGCACTTGTGATTACTATACCAGTGATTACTCTAACAGTGATTACTCTAACAGTGATTACTATACCGGTGATTACTCTAACAGTGATTACTCTAACAGTGATTACTCTAACAGTGATTACTCTAACAGTGATTACTCAACTGCAAGGGCAAAAGTAATTCAGGAAAAACTGAAACAAAAATAGGTAGCCAGCTCCCTGCAGTGTATGTACTCACTCGCTCCTGCTGTCGAGCCCGCTCCTCCTGTTCCTCGAGGTACAGCTCCATCCTGACCCGCTCCATCTCCTCGCGCTCCGCATCCTTCTGTGCTATCTGCTCCGACAGCTGCAACACAACATGGAACCCACCATCAGACATTGTATAGTATTGTTTTGTATTGCCCAGTCATAGTTATTAGCTTGAGTTATATACTCCATTACCCTAATCATCAGTCATGTACATCTCACTGAGAAAATAGTACTGATTTATGTGTCTATGCTCATTGTCTTGACGATAACAGAAAATAATTTAGTACATGTTCAAAATATGATTTGATTTGATTTGAAAGTTTGATTGTACAGGAAACTATTTCAAATTATTAAATTAAATTTAATTAAATTAAATAAAAAAATAAAATAAAATAAAATTAAATTAAATTAAATTAAATTAAATTAAATTAAATTAAATTAAATTAAATTAAATTAAATTAAATTAAATCTAATTGCTGGCCTCACTTCTTTCTGCATGCGATCCATGGCCTGCTCTTTCTCCATCTTCTGTTGGCGGAACTCATCCTCCCTCTCCTTCTGCACGTTGGCGAACTGCATGATGCGCATGTTCTCCTCCTCCATGCGCCGTCGCTCCAGGTCCTTCCACTCCTCCCGCGCCTGCTTGAACTCTGCGATGTACGCCTGCGTTGCCTTGCGCTTCTGTAGGTTCCTCTCTGTGTCCCTGCGACACAACCACAGATGTACACAAACCAAAACCAAACACAAGAGGAGGAACTTTAAATACCTACTGTGAAACCATCCCATTCAGACAACGTTTGTGTCTTGTCAGGCCCACAAAGCAATATTACTGTGCCTGTACTTAATCAATTCTAGACCACACAATCCAGTGATTGATACCATGAGCAACAATCCTCTGCTTGTCTGCTTGTTATACACACACATTTTACACCTGTTAATCACACACACTTTACACCTGTTAATCACACACATTTTACACCTGTTAATCACACACATTTTACACCTGTTAATCACACACATTTTACACCTGTTAATCACACACATTTTACACCTGTTAATCACACACATTTTACACCTGTCATTCACACACATTTTACACCTGTTAATCACACACATTTTACACCTGTCATTCACACACATTTTACACATGTTAATCACACACATTTTACACCTGTTAATCACACACATTTTACACCTGTCATTCACACACATTTTACACCTGTTAATCACACACATTTTACACCTGTTATACACACACACATTTTACACCTGTTATACACACACACATTTTACACCTGTTATACACACACACATTTTACACCTGTAATACACACACATTTTACACCTGTAATACACACACACATTTTACACCTGTTAATCACACACATTTTACACCTGTCATTCACACACATTTTACACCTGTTAATCACACACATTTTACACCTGTTAATCACACACATTTTACACCTGTTAATCACACATATTTTACACCTGTCATTCACACACATTTTACACCTGTTAATCACACACATTTTACACCTGTTATACACACACACATTTTACACCTGTTATACACACACACATTTTACACCTGTTATACACACACACATTTTACACCTGTAATACACACACATTTTACACCTGTAATACACACACACATTTTACACCTGTTAATCACACACATTTTACACCTGTTATACACACACATTTTACACCTGTAATACACACACATTTTACACCTGTTATACACACACACATTTTACACCTGTAATACACACACACATTTTACACCTGTTATACACACACACATTTTACACCTGTTATACACACACATTTTACACCTGTCATATACACACATTTTACACCTGTCATTCACACACATTTTACACCTGTTATACACACACATTTTACACCTGTCATACACACACATTTTACCATGCTGTAATACACACACATTTTACACCTGTAATACACACACATTTTACCATGCTGTAATACACACACATTTTACACCTGTAATACACACACATTTTACACCTGTACTACACACACATTTTACACCTGTACTACACACACATTTTACATCTGTCATACACACACATTTTACACCTGTAATACACACACATTTTACATCTGTAATACACACACATTTTACATCTGTCATACACACACATTTTACACCTGTAATACACACACACAATTTACACCTGTAATACACACACAATTTACACCTGTAATACACACACATTTTACCATGCTCTAATACACACACAGAGAGCTGTCTGTGACTTGAGCCATTAGTCTGAATCCCAAGTCTGGTAAAAATCTGTTCAGGCCAGTAAGCTCTGCCACTAGTAGTCTATACTTATACTAAATTGTCCAGAAAATGATGCTGAGAGACAAGTCACTCCAAGAGTGGAGTCACAGACAGTGGAGGTTGACTGATCACAGTACCTCTGGTCCTCCTCGTAGATCTTGCGTACGATCTCGTCGATCATGAGCTTCTCCTTGAGGAACTCCTCGTACGCCTGCTGCCGCCGCACTTCCTGTTCCTCCAGCTGCCGCTCCAGCTCCTGCTGGTACCGCACCTGCTCCTTGTAGCGCTCCATCTGACGCGCCTGCTCCGCCTCCGCAGCCCGGTCGTGCTGCTCCTTCATCTCCCTCGCGATCTGGCTGTCTCGTTTCTACAAACACATCAACAGTCAGGCATCAACACACGATCTGGCTGTCTCGTTTCTACAAACACACCAACAAATTTTATTAGAGAGTTTGTTTGTTTGTTTGTTGTTTAACGCCACACTCAGCAATATTCCAGCTATATGACGGCGGTCTGTAAATAATGGAGTCTGGACCAGACAATTCAGTGATTAATATCATGATCATCGATCCATGCAATTGGGATCGATAACATGCATCAACCAGGTCAGTGAGCCTGACCACCTGATCCCGTTAGTCGCCTTTTACGACAAGCATAATCAACTTTTACGGCAAGCATGGGTTGCTGAAGACCTATTCTACCCTGGATCTTCACGGGTCCTGTGTGCACGGAGGGAGCTACTCACCATCTGGTCAAACTTGAGGGCGTCTTTCTCGGCCAGCTGGGCAGCTCTCTCCTTGTTCATGTAGGCGGCCTTCAACTTGGCCTCCAGCTCACGCAGCTCCAGGCTGAAGAAGAAGATGTACAATGAGCAACGAGCTGCGAGGAGTCACAGACTGAAGGAGAAGACTACAACGAGCTGCGAGGAGTCACAGACTGAAGGAGAAGACGTACAATGAGCAACGAGCTGGGAGGAGTCACAGACTGAAGGAGAAGACGTACAATGAGCAACGAGCTGCTAGGAGTCACAGGCTGAAGGAGAAGATGTACAATAAGCAACAAGCTGCGAGGAGTCACAGGCTGAAGGAGAAGACGTACAATGAGCAACGAGCTGTGAGGAGTCACAGGCTGAAGGAGAAGACGTATAATGAGCAACGAGCTGCATGAGTCACAGGCTGAAGGAGAAGACGTACAATGAGCAACGAGCTGCGAGGAGTCACAGGCTGAAGGAGAAGATGTACAATGAGCAACGAGCTGCGAGGAGTCACAGGCTGAAGGAGAAGACGTACAATGAGCAACGAGCTGCATGAGTCACAGGCTGAAGGAGAAGACGTACAATGAGCAACGAGCTGCGAGGAGTCACAGGCTGAAGGAGAAGATGTACAATGAGCAACGAGCTGCGAGGAGTCAGGCTGAAGGAGAAGATGTACAATGAGCAATGAGCTGCGAGGAGTCACAGACTGAAGGAGAAGATGTACAATGAGCAACGAGCTGCGAGGAATCAGAGGCTGAAGGAGAAGATGTACAATGAGCAACGAGCTGCGAGGAGTCACAGGCTGAAGGAGAAGATGTACAATGAGCAACGAGCTGCGAGGAGTCAGAGGCTGAAGGAGAAGATGTACAATGAGCAACGAGCTGCGAGAAGTCACAGGCTGAAGGAGAAGATGTACAATGAGCAACGAGCTGCGAGGAGTCAGAGGCTGAAGGAGAAGATGTACAATGTGTAATGAGCTGCGAGGAGTCAGAGGCTGAAGGAGAAGATGTACAATGAGCTGCGAGGAGTCACAGAATGAAGAAGAAGATGTACAATGAGCAATGAGCTGCGAGGAGTCAGGCTGAAGGAGAAGATGTACAATGAGCAATGAGCTGCGAGGAGTCACAGACTGAAGGAGAAGATGTACAATGAGCTGCGAGCTGCGAGGAATCAGAGGCTGAAGGAGAAGATGTACAATGAGCAACGAGCTGCGAGGAGTCACAGGCTGAAGGAGAAGATGTACAATGAGCAACGAGCTGCGAGGAGTCAGAGGCTGAAGGAGAAGATGTACAATGAGCAACGAGCTGCGAGAAGTCACAGGCTGAAGGAGAAGATGTACAATGAGCAACGAGCTGCGAGGAGTCACAGGCTGAAGGAGAAGATGTACAATGAGCAATGAGCTGCGAGGAGTCAGAGGCTGAAGGAGAAGATGTACAATGAGCTGCGAGGAGTCACAGACTGAAGGAGAAGATGTACAATGAGCAACGAGCTGCGAGGAGTCAGAGGCTGAAGGAGAAGATGTACAATGAGCTGCGAGGAGTCAGAGGCTGAAGGAGAAGATGTACAATGAATGAGCAACAAGCTGCGAGGAGTCAGAGGCTGAAGGAGAAGATGTACAATGAGCAACGAGCTGCGAGGAGTCACAGACTTTCTGGTTAAATGAAGATGCAAATTGTGATTTGTTTTTGTTTGCTTGTTTAATGCTGCACTCAATATTCCAGCTATATGATGGTGGTCTGTAAATACAGCAGAACACAGATAAAACAAACACGGATAGAGCAAAAAAACACATACAACAAACTGTTACAAACTCCCTGATTTATCTCCTATATATCATAACATAAAATGTAAAATATAACAAACTCTCTACAGTGATTTGTTTGTTTGTTTGTTTGTTGTTTAACGCCGCACTCAGCAATATTCCACCTATATGATGGCGGTCTGTAAAATAATCGAGTCTGGACCAGGCAATCCAGTGATTGACATCATGAGCATTGATCTAAGCAATTGGGATCAATGACATGTATCAACCAAGTCAGCGAGCCTGACCACCCGATCCCGTTAGTCGCCTTTTACGACAAGCATAGTCGCCTTTTACTGCAAGTACGGGTTGCTGAAGACTTATTCTACCCCGGAATCTTCACAGATCTCTCTACAGTGAACTAACGGATATAGCGAACTGATATCTGATCACCGACAAGCCCATCTACCACTAATTAGTGACTTGTATAGCGATATAAACGGATATAACGAACTGATTTCTCTGGTCCCTTGTAGTTCTTTATATCCATGGTCCACTGTAATCGAATCTGGACCAAACAATCCAGTGATTGACATCATGAGCATCCATCTATGCAATTACCATGAACTGCATCAACCAACTCTGCGAACCTGACCCCCCAATCATGTTAGTCACCTCTTACGACAAGCATAGTCACCTCTTACGACGAGCATGGGTTGCTGAAGACCTAGTCTAACCCGGATTTTCACAGGTATAACGTGTGAAATGTCTACCCTACAGAGAAACTTCACTGAAGGCTGCCCAAAGGAAGACCTGGACAAGTGGAGACTGTCACCGAACACATCAGCATGAGTCGATAAAAGTTTAAACCTCCAAAGTTTTTTATACTGAAAGACACAAGGGCAAAATTCATTCTACCAACTTTTTCAGTTTATAAACTGTGTCTTGAGTGTAAAATGTACAGCAAGCCTGCTTCAGAGGCAGAGAGACAGGTGATGTCATGGCAACAGATGTCACCTCCAATACAACAGGGAAACTTAGGTACTGGACATGTCACATCTGGAGGTGGAGGGAGGCAGTTCACGCCTGACATCTGGAACCACTACGGCAACTGTGGTTATCTCATTACTGAAAGGTAGCACCACCAGATCACTCTAGTGAGTGTGTTTGATCTTACGCCGCTTTTAGCAATATTCCAGCAATATCACAGCGGGGGACACTAGAAATGGGCTTCACACATTGTACCCATGTCGGGAATCGAACCCGGGTCTTCAGCGTGACGAGCGAGCGCTTTTACCACCAGGCTACCCGAACCCCCTTTGATCACCGAACATCCCAAAGTGGTGCATGTATTCCAGAGAGAGCAGTCCAACTCGGAAGCAAACATCTTGAGATAGGACAGCCATCTTTCTGCACCTCCCTCTCAGTGACGTTATCGCCAGATCGACGCCCGCCCCAGACGACTGAGGGATGACCTCAGACATAATCTGTCTGACTACACCGTTGGGACGTCGGGACGCCGGGACTACTTTATTGCTATCAATATGTGTTAACATGCATTTACTCAAACATTAACTACAGTTCACTGACAAGGGCTGTAGCGCTCCTTTTCTTCCCATATTATGTGTCAGTGAACGGGTCTCAGCCCTTGTAGGTCTCGGAGCACTATGACGAGTTTTTCTCTTTATTATCAAATGTGGCACGCCTAACCCAATCTCATTAAAATCAAATCTTAGTTCCTGCTACCGCTAAACAATGATCTGAGGACATCCCATTACGGGTCACATTAGCACGACCTTTCATCCAACCAATCAGAGCGTCGCCTACCAGATCCTGAAAGTGACAGTCGAAATGTGTTTTCTAATCATGCATCCTCGAAACATTTAACAGAGGGTATTCCGAACGACAGTTACGGGTTTTATGATTATATCCATACAATTTAGGTCATCTATAAGTCATTCCAGAATGTTTTTTTGGTCAGTTTTAAAAATTTTTAATCGATAATACGTCAAAATATGTTTCGAAGCGTAGTCGCCAGTTTGAAACTAGTGCCGTAAAGCTCGAGATAGCTGCCTTCTGATTGGCTAATGTTGATTTCTTGTCATTCATTTCATTAGTCAATTCGTTCCGACGTGACCCATAATGGGATGTCCTCAGATCTTTCGTTTCTTGGTTGCGAAAACTAAGATCTGATTTTAATGAGATTGCACCTAACCTTGCTAACCTGGCACCGAAACTCCAGATAATTAAAATTCCTAGCAAACTTGATTGAAGTAAATGTCAACCCACAATTCAATAAAATAGATCAATCCACCAGGTCAAGGTCACAGAGTTATTTTCTCCTCAGCTAGGATGTCAAAGTGCTCTTACATGCAAACCAAACGGTGATCTGTGTCGTGTTGGGATGGAGTTACCTGGTTTCACGGATCTGCTGCCTCATCTTCTCATCCTTCGTCTTCTCCTGCTTCATCTTCTCCAGCTGCTGAGCCAGTTGTTCCTCTTGGGCGAGCTGCTGGTCCTTTAACAACCTGTCCCGCTCCGACTACAACGCAACATCACAACGGTGACACAGTGAAACAATGACACAGCATAGGACACCTCAACACTACTGACAGTGTAGGACATCTCACCCTACTGATACAGTGTAGGACATCTCACCCTACTGACAGTGTAGGACATCTCACCCTACTGATACAGTGTAGGACATCTCACACTACTGACAGTGTAGGACATCTCACCCTACTGATACAGTGTAGGACATCTCACACTACTGATACAGTGTAGGACACCTCACACTACTGACAGTGTAGGACATCTCACCCTACTGACAGTGTAGGACATCTCACACTACTGACAGTGTAGGACATCTCACTCTACTGACAGTGTAGGACATCTCACCCTACTGACAGCGTAGGATATCTCACCCTAATGATACAGTGTAGGACATCTCACCCTACTGATACAGTGTAGGACATCTCACCCTAGTGACACAGTGTAGGACATTTCACTCTACTGATACAGTGTAGAATATCTCACCCTACTGATACAGTGTAGGACATCTCACCCTAGTGACACAGTGTAGGACATTTCACTCTACTGATACAGTGTAGGATATCTCACCCTACTGATACAGTGTAGGACATCTCACCCTACTGACAGTGTAGGACATCTCACCCTAGTGACACAGTGTAGGACATTTCACTCTACTGATACAGTGTAGAATATCTCACCCTACTGATACAGTGTAGGATATCTCACCCTAATGATACAGTGTAGGACATCTCACCCTACTGATACAGTGTAGGATATCTCACCCTACTGACAGTGTAGGACATCTCACCCTACTGACACAGTGTAGGATATCTCACCCTACTGATACAGTGTAGGACATCTCACCCTACTGATACAGTGTAGGATATTTCACCCTACTGATACAGTGTAGGATATTTCACCCTACTGATACAGTGTAGGACATCTCACCCTAATGATACAGTGTAGGACATCTCACCCTACTGACAGTGTAGGACATATCTCACTCTAATGATACACTGTAGGACATCTCACCCTACTGATACAGTGTAGGACATCTCACCCTAATGATACAGTGTTGGACATCTCACCCTAATGATACAGTGTAGGACATCTCACCCTCAATATCGACTCCTCCATTTCTCGCTCCTTGTTTTCTATTTGTTGCCGCCGCAGGAAGCGCTTGTCCTCGATCCTCTCCTCGCTGCGCATGTTGGCATCCATTATCCTCTCCGTGGCGAGTCGTTTCAGCGTGTCCTCTCTCACCTCCTCCTGCCTGCGAGTCTGCTCCAGCATGTGGCCGCGCATGTTGCTGCGGATGTTGGTCTACAAAACAAGCATCTCCACTTACAGCTCACAAAACACAGCAAGTACTTTCAGCAACTCGGAGAGTGGGGTTTGTCAAGACAACAAAGTCAAAAGTTTGTGGAGTGACCCCCCAGGTTCAAAGTTAAAAGTTAAAGAGGTTGCATACGAAAAACAAACAAAATCAAGAAATGGGTATATTTGGTATCATTTTGTAGGAAAATATGTCCTGAATCAAATTACGCAATAAAAAAACCAAGTCACCACGGCATTTTTTGAATAAGTGGCGCCATCTAGAGGCACCGGATGATAAAATCATTTTGACAATAAAATGGTCATTTTAAAGTTTGATTATTAAATGAGTGTTTTTAAATAGACATTTTACAGTATTGATATGACACAAAACAGAAAAATGAAAATTCAAGTCAAAATATTTTTAATTTCACACACATCATTTGACTTTAAAAAAAGCACATTTTCCAAAAAAATTGATTCATCAGACAAAAAAGCACTTTACAAAATCAAGATATTTTTCAAACTGGCTTATTTCTAATGTTTTTTCATTGTAAAATAAAATTATAAAATAAAAACAACATGTTACCAGAGGATATTCAAATTATTTTCAATCAACACAGCATAACCCTAAAATAATGAATCAGGGGAGGTAATTCTTGCCCAAATCTACATTTCTATGAGTTCTTATGCAGACATTTTGGCGGAAGTACAATTAGCCGCGAGTCAAAGGGACGTAACTGCATTACAAATACTCGCCGTTACATGCGCATCCGGTATGCGCATGAACAATGGTATCCAACATCTTTAAAAGTTAAAAGAACACACACACGAGTTTACTCGGCTTTGGAAACAAATGAAAACACATGAATAGACCATGTATGAAGTGACGATGTGACAGATATATCAGAATTCTGGGTAGGAAAGTGATTGGCTTCATACTACCAGGACATATTTCTTATTGTAATCTTGACTTTGATGAACACTGGCTTATATAAATCAAGCTGGCAATTGGTATTTTGACTTTCTCTTCAATTTGCCTCTGATAAAAAAGATGACTGAAGCCAGTCTACTCTGCGCAGAGCTTGCATTGTCAGCTTCACTGTGCGGAGCTCTATTGTTTTGGTTCGAGAATCGAACCGGGCATGAGACGTCACACTCGGAAATAATTTCATGCATGATTTAAGGTGAGGTGAAATGGGGTTTAACGTCGCGTCCAAGATTATTGCACTTATATATAGCGACGTGCATGCACGTGTGTGTGTGTGTGTGGCTGCTTGTACTAGACCGGACTGATGCCGATTTATAGTGCTAGCTCACTGAGATACCATGCCGCAGTTTAACATGAATACCCCACTCAGTGAGTGAGTGAGTGAGTGAGTATGGTTTTACGCCGCTTTTAGCAATATTCCAGCAATATCATGCGGGGGACACCAGAAATGGGCGAATACCCCACTGAGACACAGTATACTGACTCCGAGCAAACCAGTCCTTGTTTTAGCCCCTTAATGCCGAGCGCCAGACAGGGTAACAACAATGCTTGATTTAAAAGCGCACAGCTCTATTGTTTTAGTTCAAGAATTGAACTGGGCATGAGACGTCACACTTGGAAATACATGTAATTTCATGCATGTTTTAAAAGCCCACAGAGCCATCGACTTACAGTGCCTTTAAACTGCGGCCTGGTATCTCAGGTGAGGTGAGGTGAAATTGGGTTTAACGTCGCGTCCAAGATTATTGCACTTATATAGCGACGTGTGGTATCTCAGAGGGCTAAGCACTATATATAAAATTTGCATTTGTCAAACACACGCACACACACTAATCTTGAACCCCATTACACCTCACCTCCCTTCTGCCAGATGAAACGGATGAATGGACTAGAGACACACAAACACAGAAGCAGGCTACTATGGCTATCTATGGTCAGATATTGAGTCACTATAGTCAGGGTATGAAACTCCCAAAATTTTCAGCCAGACCACAGGACTGGCTAGCTGAAATACTTGCCAGCCCTGACCAAAACCTGCCTGCCCACTATAATCATATGTTTTTCAGGATAATTTAATTAAAACTTTAAATCGGATTCATTGAACATGAAGTGATGCAAGAAAAGAAATAGCAAACACTTTTTAGGTCAGATTTGTATTTAATATCCTACAATACATCATGTAAATAATGCTTATCATCAGGAAATATTTAGAATATTTTTACATACGAAATATAACCCGACCGTCGGGCAGGGGGATTTGAAAATCTGGCAGCCCGAGTTGAAATCAACCCGTCTCGGATGGTCGGGCAGGCAGGTATTTCGAACACTGCTATAGAACTAGTAGACTCAAACATATCTGGCACAGACTGGAATGGTCAGCATCAGAAATTAGCTCTTATCCGATAGTCCCTGCCGTACTGCCCACTGGCTGAGGTAATATTAGGACCAGGGTTTCAGATGACCGTCGGTCATTGGTCATAGACCAAAAAAAATTCAATTTGTAGATGATTTGTTTAAGTAGATGATTTGTTTTTTGACCGATAGAAATGCTAAGCAAGGCGTTGAATGTTTCATAATTTCATGATTACAAGGAATATAGTAAGGATTATTCTTACTTACAGTATCGATTTTAATGACCAATGAAATGCTCTCAAAGTTTTGTGTCATTGTGAGAATATACAGTACAAATATCGTCCTGTTTTCAATCAGAGCTTTCAACACCAGGCCTTTATTACTGTTCATGACGTGATGATATTGTATGTCGTATTAATGTCTTACGTTGGCTATGTTGTCTTATTTTCCACCAAGTAGTAAGTACAAGGTAAGGTATGCTTGAACGTGGGGACTGGGTCAGACATTGCACGTTGGGCCAGTTGTCCTTGTGTCTGGGGGATGGGGGGTGAAGTTTATGGCAGTGCTGCCCCCAGACCTGGCGGGTAGCTGGGTGTACAGAAGCTATGCACGATTCTTTAAAAGTACTGATTTAACTTTGAGTTTTTACTGCAGTAAAAAAGACTGACAGATACACAGGAGTTTTAAACATGATGTTTGAACAAATATATTTGCAGCATTTTTATGTTTAAGGCGTCGAATTGACTATGTGCCCAACAATATCTATGAAAAGTGACACACTTTTCAAGGTCTATGGGCCCTAGGGCCCACCTTAATAAAATTCTGGGTTCATCAATGGATTAAAAAATAAAACAATGCAGTCATCAAAAATTGTAACTGAAATTCTGAGCAGCGTATGTCTTTGTACGTTTGGTCTGCATCAGTGGCAAATGCTGTCACGAGCCATAGCAACTTAGTCAAGGTTTTTCCTTATTGCAACGTTTATGGCCAGATCATATATATTCATCTAATCACAAACAGTATTGCACTGATTTCTTAAACTGATGGCTCATTCGCCATTTTTGTTTATTTGACTTATTGACTATTGACATTCTTGCCATGACTAATTTCATTTCTTGGGTCCAAGTCATTTACCTATGCACAACATTTTGTGTCAAAATCACTGAGTATTAGTAGACACCTGACATTATTACGGGTTTTGCAAAATTCGACGTAATAAGCGCCCTAGGCGCTCTCAAAATTAGAAACAGGGGGCTCTTATTAGAATATTATTTTGGTGAAAAAAACAGAGTTGAAAGATAAATTTTGTGGTTTAAGCTTACAGCCTGAAATGTTTATGTACGACAGATATATTTTTCCAGAATTTAATTGCCCATAATTAAGGGTGTGCATAACACACGAGTGTGTATTATATGCGAATAAATAAGTCTTGTGTACATTGTTGGGATTGTTAACTTGCCAATATATTAGGAAATATCGCTGTGGGCGCTTATTACGTCGATATTATATTATTATTGTAAAGACTGGTTGACTGAAAATGTTGGTGTCTATATCTGATGGCGTCTTCTCGTGTTGAATCAAAATGATCTGCTTCAAGCAGGGATAAATCTATGATTCCAAACTAAGTCCCCTTGGTAGGCAGACTGGGAAATATAGATGCAGAAACTGAACCACTACATCGCAGATCTCTGATGACTGTGTCCTGCTGTTACATAAATATTGTGGTAAAACGTAATAGGATGTGCACGTAATATTGAAGTACCTACAGTTTGATGACTTCAAGCCCAAGCAAGGATGACAAATTACACATAACACAGGGATGAGTGATGCTGAGAGTCAATGGTTGTTTCAAAATAAATACAAGGCAAGGAGACTACAGATGAACATGATTGTGTAGCCGTTGGTTTGTTAACAAGGGCCAATAGGTTGAAATAAATGACATTCATATTTCATGAGATGTCGAGGTGTGATTCGAACCGAGTGAGAAATCTTGAATATGGACCAAGATGGCGAGTGTCATTTGTCTATATCTATAGAAGGGTGTGATATTTTTCTTTACAGATATTTTATACTATACAAGTTATCATCGAGTTCCTGGGATTTTTATTTGTCCCAGCCTAATATAAACACTATAATGTCCTGGCCGTACATGCACCAAAAGTAGATCTATAAACAGGTGGTACATACATTATATATAGGCCTATCCCAGAGTCTAATGCACAGTGTGTTTTTATGTCAATATCTATCCATAGGATTTTTAATTTTTATGGTACATTTCTTCAAAACTGCAAAAACTATGTCAGTCTAAAATTGTGGCCCAATTGAACTATTAACATATAGAATTAACACAAGTAGCAAGCAGTACTTTCGAGGGTATTGGGACAACGGTAAGCATGTTAGTGGTGGCTCGAAATTAGGGGACAATGACTCTTCATTGCACTTTCAATACTGTGTAAATACTCCTTATAACAACAGTACGCTATTTACTTATGCCTTCATCATTAAACATTAAACATTGAAAATAGAACACTGAACACTCACCATCATCTTGCTTTTTTGCAAGTTCTACTCGATTTGTAACAGATTTATCTTCCCTCCTTTTTCACCGAATCTCTAATATGGCCACCTCAGTGTTATTGTATAGGGAAGTATCTACAAGCGTTGCTAGGGGTGACAGGAAACCAGTAATCTCAGAGAAAGAGCTCTCGTCGAATATCATTGAAATAATATTCACCACATTTCTCACAAACAGATTTTCATATTATTAAATTATTTACAGAAACATTGAAGAAACGTAATATTTCAAATAATAATACTTAGATTTGGAAGGAAGCATTATCATTTAACGTGTCACCCCTTTCCTCATTGAATAGACTCGACCATACAGTAGGCACGGGCAAAACTCTGTGGTTTATTTTTATTGCGTATAATTAGATGTGTAAACAAAAGTTAGAATTTTATTCGTTAATAGTGAAATGTACTAATTTGGATTTAAAGATGTATACGATAATTTTACAGGAATAAAGTGCAGAATTACTATTTAACATGAATCGAAGGTATTTGCTGCGGGCTGCTTGCGTCGTTGCCATTTTTAACGCGTCAGCAGAAGCCGGGAGAAATATTATCAAGTGAAACAATATCAGAGACATCATAACTCTGTATTTTGTGCAGAAGGTGTGTGAGTGTGTGTACTTGTGTTTGAATATGTTCCACAAATCCATTTCCTTCCTCTATTATGAAATAGATTCTGAATATCTGAAATAGGTCAACCGGTTTGCGGAATCCGAAACATTCCATCGGCATCCTTACATCGAGTCGACCTGCGAACCTTTTGTAATATTTTCATTTCCAACCTCAAATGCTTCGCCACTGAAACCCAGGTCAACAGTGTAAGATCAGGGGAGCACAGCGATAGAAACTAACTTATAGACCACTAGTCCTTATAATGATAACATATATAACCTGCGGGTGTTTATGGGCAAACCTTTAGTAATGGCAAATTCCAACCAGTCCTTATGATACATTAACTATTGGGCAGTTTGGCAAAAGCTACAGACAGTGCCATTTTTTACCGCTCCAAGCAGTAGCTAAACATTCTCCATGAGATAAGCAAGTTCTACAATGTTCTTGAATAGGCCTATTGACTGCTGAGATATGTACCTTTGAAGCCCCATCATATTCCCGCTAGTGTCATTATTTAGGGCTAAATTATTTAAATCTAAATCTTTTAGATTTACAACCATTATGACTCTTGACCCCTTGATTTTTGCTGCTAAGATTGCTGTAATGTTGGCAAATGGTTTGCTTTGTCTGGGACACAAACATGTGTACAGCAAAGATTTCAGTCGGTAGACACAAATGGTTTTCACAATTAAATATATTGTGTACTGGCACCCCAGCATTCATAGCGTTGTAGTACGCCTACAAAATAGCCAAATACCGGATCCCCATACACCATCTTTCTTTGTTTTGTAATATAGCTAACAGCCCGCCAATGTCACCGCGTTAGAAATTGTCACTAGCCCTGTAGTCCTTACCAAACTGCCCAATTGTAAAGATATCCTAAGGGCTAGTAGAAATTGGCCCATTTTAAGGGTTTTGCTATATGTTTTCATAATAAGGACTAGTGGACAAAAACTGTTAGTTTCTAACCCTGTGTGACCATTTTCATCATGGGGTATAAAGCTCACAATAAGCAGAACAAATTTCCACGCTTACATTTGTTTGGTTTGATATGATTAAACGTAAAAAAATTGCAAAGCAGTTCATAAACATAAAAAATTAGACATTTGAACATAGAAATGTAACTCGAAAATAAAAGTTCCATAATGGTGTGCAGTAACTTCATTTATAACATACTTTCGGACAACATTTTTAATTCACTTTGTAACTCAAAAAGCCATTGTCTTTTTTTCTGACAACATTTGTTTCAAGTCTTGGGAGCAAGGACCCCCAACTCCTCGTTATTTTAGCAAGGCGGTGAAAAAACGTTTGAAACCATTACCGTTATGCTAAGGAATGTGCTTGTGCATATCCTTTACCAATTTGGCAGAATGTATTCAGTATTCTAGCCTTTAATTCTTTCTGTTGCAGTGGTAGACAAGATGACGTCACAAGTCCCAGCAAAGATTGTGCTGAAAAGCACCACAAAGATGTCTCTCAATGATCGGTGAGGAATCCCAAGTGTTGCCACAACTACGGTTCATGGCTTCTGTTGTGACCAGCGCGGAAATGCTTGTGTGCAACATGTGTTCTCAGAGACAAAGTGGGAAGTGTTCTGAACTGAAAAAGGCTAATATCTCCTGGATATTTCCTAGATAGGACTTGCACCTCCCCCTGTGCTGTTTCATCGGCAAAGATTAAGCATGTTTACACCAAACGAGTCCAAAGCTCATGCCAAAATGGAAATATAAAATCCTAATGGATCGATATCTTAAATGAGCCCAGCTTCTTGAAAATCCTCACCTTTCAGTAAAATTCTTTGGATGAAGAAGAACAAATTTGATAGATAAAATACAAATGAGGATGGAAGGGTCACTGCTACCATGCCAGTCGGAGTCGTGAGAACGCTCGGTGGCTGTTTTATGTTTATTAACCCATGCTAGCTGATATACCGAAGGGTAAATATGGTGTGATGCTTCCTGACATCAGGAAGAGTAAGTAAGTTGAAACACCAGGGTACACCCACAGCGTGCCAGCTATCCCTCCAACACATGTTACTAATATGCATTTTGTTTGAATTCTCAACTCAATGCTTTCCATGTTTGAATGTATTATGAAGATGTTGATTCACAGCATGTCCAAATTTGCTAAAGCTGTAGTATGAGCTAAGGTTTGGCTGTAAGTTGATGTGATGTGAGGGATAGGTGTGGTCCTGGAGAGCTTCTGTGCAGTCACTGAGTGACTTATGGCATGCCATACACAAATACACGCCTTGCTCAGGCTGGCATAAACTATGCACCATGGTTTGAAAAAATATATATTCCTCTTGTGGGACCAGCTTCTTGGCATTTGACATTTCCTAAAGCAGCAGTGTCAAAAACTTTCGAGACTATTCGCTTTATCGTGGCTCTCAGAATCGTTTTCAGTCAAGTTAAGTGTTCTATGGACTTGCTAGCTGAGTTACTACACGAATAGACTTTCACTGGACACAGGCTTTAGACGAGTGGTTAAAGTCGCAGACAGCATAATGAAGTGACCTGTTGTCAGATTTTGGATTGTACCGGTAATTGCTGCTTCTTTGAGTATGGAGTTGAGATTCAATGTGGCATGTTTATGCCTTTCAATGTTTGGACAAGGATGTTTTTGTCCACTAGTCCTTATAATGATAACATGTAGCAAAACCCTTAAAATGGGCCAATTTCTACTCGTCCTTAGGATACCTTTACTATTGGGCAGTTTGGTAAGGACTACAGGACTAGTGCCAATTTCTAACGCTGTATAAGGATAAGTTTGGAAAGTACCAGTTCTTGGTGAAATGTTAGTTTTAAGCTAAGACAGTGTTTGAGATAGTTAGAAGTTACTTTTAAAGTTGCTATAGTTTGAATCATATGGTAATTAGTGTCTGATTAATTACAGGCAACAGTACAAATGGTAGTAATCATTATCAGTGTTGCTGTTAGCTGGGTGTCATGTCACCCAATATGGATAAGGCAATGTTTAGTATTCAGTATCCCCGCAGAAGATTAGCATCTTTGAAAGGCTGTTGTTGGAACTCCCTGAGATATTGTAGAGGACCTCCATGGAAGATGTGTCACCAGTTTGGTATTCGTGATAGTTTCCCTTGGTTTGAGGTATTCCACTCTTCCTTCCCATGAAATCTGACTTTACAATTCTTTACATGTAGGAAGTGAACACTTGTGATTAAATCCAAAGTCAACACTTGATTACAGTGGATATCTGTTTGTTGATGAGCAGGGATTGAGATTTTACATGTTCAGTGTCTTCATAGTAAAAGCATCCATGAATATTATGATTGGGTCATCTCAGTTAATGGTCATCATGCAGATCATCTTAAGTCCCTTAGACTGTTTTACTCAGTGGTGATAGGGACTAAGGAATCTTGTACTGGTTAAAAACCCACCAAACCATGTGTATAAGTGAATGAAAGTACAAAGCTCAGCGAAGGGACCACACAGCTACATGAGCATGGTAGAGGCATGGGCAGAAGGTGATGTGGTGCAGGAGGATGCTGCTACTGCTGCAGCCGCTGCCCAGTGTAAGTATGTTGTACTGCCCGCTATAACACCAGTGTTCTCTGCCTGTCCGTGAAGCTTCACCAACATACAGAAGACGCGCCCCCAAACCGTCGTGCCCAACATCCGCGCGAACATGGTGGCCCAGCAACAGGCGTCGGCCAAGAACAGGAGACTGGCCCAGCAGTTGGCCAACCGGCCTGGAGTTGGACCAATGATGAACCAACCACAGATCAGCATGCCAGGAACAGGGGTTGCCGTGGCGATGAGGCTCAAGAAGGTAGCGTGACTGAAGGGGTTTCCTGAACACTGGGATCGGGTGGTCAGGCTCGCTGACTTGGTTGATGCATATCATCGATCTCAATTGCGTGGATCAATGCTCATGATACCAATCACTGGAATCTCTGGTTCAGACTCCATTATTTATAGACAGTCGTCATATAGCTGGAATATTGCTGAGTGCGGCGTTAAACGAAAAACCAACCAACCAACTTGAACAGCACTTTTTAATACTATAGCAACATTTCAATAAGGCAATCTTGATAGTGCAGCCGATCATGTTTTTTTTATTGACATGGCCCGTGGGGTTTCAGGGTAAGAGTATAGATCCCCAGCAACAAGAGCTGACCACATTTATCCGGTGCTCAGACTCTCGGTGACTTGGTTGATAACATGTCCTCATACCTCTACGACGTTCATCGTTGCTCACAATATCGATCACTGGATTGTGTGGTCAGATTCCTATATTTACAGGTCGCTATGAATAAGCTGGGATAATGCTGCTTACGGCTTTAAACAACAAACAAGCAAATACAATATCCCGACAGTAGTTGACAGTGCGATAGAAATATTGAAATCAGGATAGGATGAAAAGAGCTGATAGTTAAAAACCTGACTAAGCATGTTAAGAATTCAACTTTGTTTACCCAAGATAATCCTCGCTTGAAGTTGAAAAGACATTCATATCTTTGTTGACAAATTTCGTGAAAATATTTAACAATTTGCCTACAGCGCAGTCTCCAGCAACGCTTGGGTCGGAGCAATGTGAAGGCCAGGCTGAACCTATCTGCCGTTGGGCGGGGCCAGCCTCGGGGAGGTGGCCAGCGGGGGAACCGACGTGGGGCCCGCGGGATGAGGCGTGGTCGGGGAGGGCCCCCTGGTGGCCAGATGAGTAGACAACAGTCGCAGGGATCAATTAGTGGAGACGGCAATATGGGCTTCAACCAGGGCTTTAACCAAAGCTTCAGTCCACGTGAGTTCATACAGCCAGTAGGAGCAGAATCATTGGTGGCCAGGGCCCTGTTCCACAAAGCCATCTTAGCACTGCGTTTTTCATAAGTCAATGTTAAAGTTGGGAAGCTGCAATCATCTTTGAGCTGATATCGGTTTGTGCAGTGGGGCCCTGGGCAATGGTGATGCAGCTGATACCATTTTGGTTTTACAAAGGTTGATGACCTCGTGTTTTGCTCAGATTTACTAGTGTTGCTGACTTTCAGGAACAAAGAGATCCATTCTTAGAATTTCCAAATGAAATTTGGCATCAAATACTCAATAACGCCCACAAATCTGAAAACATTGTATTTTGTCCTAACTCTCACAAATTTACTGAGGGTGGGGTGTTGCTCCGGACCCCACCACCCAGTGCTTTGTGTGTGTTGTCTACCGATGAACATGCGTTGGCTACTATGTCAACCACTGGCTTACCTGATATTTAGGTTGAAGCAGACAAGTTCATCTAAACTACGAGTGGAGACTGTAGTAGAGACCCGTGAAGATTCCAGGGTAGAATAGGTCTTCAGCAACCCATACTTGCCGTAAAAGGCGACTAAGCTTGTCGTAAAGGCGACTAACGGGATCGGGTGGTCAGGCACGCTGACTTGGTTGATACCAACCAATTGCGTGGTTCGATGCTCATGATATTAATCACTGGATTGTCTGGTCCAGACTTGATTATTTACAGACCGCTGTCATATAGCTGGAATATTGCTGAGTGCAGCGTTAAACAACAAACAAACCAACAAACCAACCAACTGTAGTAGATGTCAGTCCATCAGTTTCAGTGTTAAAGATATTGCTTGCTCGTAATACCCAGTATTTTGTATCAGGTCGAGGTGGGCGTGGCATGAGGAGGGGTGGATTCCAGCCTAGAGGTGGGCGTGGCAGTCCCAGTGGTTTCAGGTGAGTAACATGAACACTGTCTCGTGTGTAGGCAGGGCGTGTTTGGTTGTCTGTGAAGCCGACACAATCAGTGGCTTGTGATGCAGAGCTGCCAACCATGATGATTCGGATGTAAAAGTTCTGATATTGATCCTAATAAGGAAGAGAATTTATGGGTGTCATCTTTATGATGAGGAACACGTTGTGGAGTGTTTGCTTACTCTATCATCAGGTGAAGGAGTAAGCATATACTACGAAATGTTGTGTTCCTCATAATAAAGAAGTTGACATCCATGTATTCTCTTCCTTATGTGTTTCACTTCTAAATGCCTTTTGAAGACTTGATTGATCTTAATATTACAAAATTATGCTTGTTTTCTCCCAAATTCTGATTATTGACTTTTTTAACACATTATGTACGTGCATAAATATCACAGGAAATTGTTAATGCACCATAGACATGAAGCATTCTACAGTGTGGTAGCTGACGAATGAGAGCCAAGTTTTCATAAAAGTATCCATTACTCATTGGTGCAACATGTACATGGTGTCTGATTGGTTGTTACGTTGAAATACTCGAAAAACCACATTGTTTTTCTAAAAAACTTAATCAGTAGAATTTTGATGATATTTCACTTGCATCTCTGTCTAATGAAAATGTCGAAACAATAACCTCCGATTCTCTAGGGTGATTACCATGCTACAAAGGTCGACATGACACTTTTTCATAAATAATTCCTCCACATTTACCCCACTGATAACTGCAAGGCTTTAATTAGCATAAGGGTTGGCATCTCTGAGAGTACATCATTTCTACAGGTTAAATGTAATATCACTTATTTACTGTTATGTACTGAAATCTGTCCTTATTGCAGTATTTACCAGCATTACAAATAGGCACCGGTACTTTATTTCTTGCCAAACTGCCCAATAGTTATGTTATATGTTAATTTGTTATCATAATGAGCAGAGGACTAAAACTGTTAGTTTCTAATGCTGTGTACATGTCTGACTATGAGATGCAAAGAAAACTTTTACCAGTTTTAAACAAAGAAATGTCAGTTGACAGTGTGCGCCTACACATTGGTCATCCTGCAGTGCTTTGTACATGTACATGGAGGTGTTGTTGGTTCCTCCGGAGTCGGGCATCGGACTAGAGGCTGATGTCGCAGACTGCTGCACTATTTGGTTCACATGGTTAAAGTGACTGATCTCAAATGTTGCTACAACCCATATTATCATGACTATTTCAAATATGTTTGATAAATATCTAAGGATGTTTTTTTTATTGAATGAGACCAATTTAAAACTTGAAATGTAGATGTTGATTGTGAGACCTTGAGTCCAGAAAGGCCAGATGTGTCCACTGTCAGCTGTGTTCTGTTTGGTGTGTAGGGGGCGTGGTGGTGATGATGGGCGGCCATATTACCGAGGTGGTGGTGGGAGCCGCCGTGGGCGGGGTTTCCAGTCTCGTGGCTACGATTGGGGCCAGTAAGCTGTTGCTAGGTGTTAGCATGTTGGCTTCTCCCCTCTCTCTCTCTCTATCTCTCTCTGCCAGCCTTCCCCTCCAGCTAACCAAGTGCATACATCTTGGCTGCTCACAGTTAGGACCTGTGAAGTATTTGTTTCAAAACAATTTGTGCAGCCACTACCAGTTCTTTAAGTGTTTGTATGTGAGTCCAGGATTTATCTTGGTGTCCTCGGAGGCCCAATGGCCACAACAGATGTCAAAACAGATTCACAAATTAGAAAGAAAATATACAAATTCAAGTTATAATTATCCTTGCAAAAGTGTATTTCCCTGTTCAATAACGATAAAAAACTTTATATTTCTTATATAATTTATATCACAATTCAGCAAAATCTAAGGAAATAAAAAAAATCCTAATTTTAGTTTAAATTTTTAGTTTTGTCCAATTTGACTCCCCAACAAATATCAACATATCCAAGATAATCCCGACTGGCTGTAACATATCTGTAACGTATCTGTAACACTAAGAAAGCATATGAAGTTATCAGACATGGTTCACTTTCCTGTGTGTACTGATTTCAATATTTTTCTTCTTCCTTCACCATGCAGCTCTCCATTGGCTGGTTGTTTGTGTGGGAGATGTGTTTCTGTTGTTTATTCCCCCATCATACATGTCTGATAACATCATGTGTTTCAACCACGACAAGATACCGCTGAGACAATAGTGAAGAACTTAAAGCTTTCGGAGCTTACATGAGTTGTAAACTGTAATTCGTAAGCCATTAACAGATTGAGAAAGAACATTCTGAAAATGTATGCACTTGTGAGGTTTGCTCGTCAACTATTTTTGCTAGTGATTGACTAGATGTGGATGTGGTGTTGTCTTGACCGGGGACGGGTTGTGGTTCTTACCAGGTGACATAGTGTTACGTTTCTGAAGTGAGTTGGGGGCACGGGTGGCCCAGTCGTCTAAGGCGCTGCGATTCGCTGTGCAGAGTTGCGTCCCTTGGGCACGCCAGAAACCTATGATTGTGGGTTCTAATCCCGGTTCGCCCCGATCATGTTTCTAGGTTTGTCAGCACCATACCCGTGCTCGTGGGTTTCACCGAAGTGGTAAACGTCTGAGACCTGCATCACTTCGGGCTTTCCTCCCACATTAAGCTGACACGCCGTGATATAATGGAATAGTGTTAAAAGCGGCGTTAAACACAACTCACTCACTCACTCTGAAGTGAGTTGGGATGGTGGTTCTATGTAGCAGGGAGGGGACAGTGTCAGGGGATGTAGGTTTTGGTCCCGGTCACTGGTGTGGGGTGTCCTTATTGTGAGGGGTCATGTCTATCAGGGGAGGGGAGGCATGTCTTCTCAGGGGAGGGGGGGCATGTTTTAATCATGGGTAGGGGTTGTGTCCTTAGGACTATCAGGAAAGGAGGGTGTCATTGTCAGGGGGAGAGGTGTCCTTGTCAGGGGGAGAGGTGTCCATGTCGGAGATGGTCTGTCAGTCCACCAGCCCGAGTCAAGGTGGTTGTGATCCATGCCAAGGAGACTTTGGGCAAAGTAATGTTTTCTGGATGTTTTGCCCTTATCAACTTAGGTGTAGGTAGGTCTCCTTCTGTGCTGGAGATTGCCACTCCCCTGCAAGAATGGCCTGGATTGTGAGTTGTGGCTAGTTCACGAGTGTGGTTCTCTGTCCTGCAGAGAGGATTAATGCCGGATTTTTGTTTTCTAACCGCATACAGTACATGTTGTGTCCACTCTTTGCATCATTGTAATACTAGGGGCTTGTTTCACTCCATGTTGCTGGTCCGTGCGTTCAAAGGTCATTTTGACCCGGGAAGATTCCAGGGTAGAAAAGGTCTTCAGCAACCCATGCTTGCCGTAAAAGGTGACTAACGGGATCGGGTGGTCAGGCTCGCTGACTTGGTTGATGCATGTCATCAATCCCAATTGCGTGGATCGATGCTCATGATCTCAATCACTGGATTGTCTGGTCCAGACTCGATTATTTACAGACCGCCTTCATATAGGTGGAATATTGCTGAGTGCGGCGTTAAACAACAAACCAACCAACCAATCAAAGGTCATTTTGAATTAAGTATGTTGGTTGTCCTCCATTATGAGAGATTTATAGTGCCACTGAATCATTGACATCAACTTGCTGCTGTCCACAACAGCACAACGTCACAGGTTTGGTTGCCCTGATGCCAAGTTAAATCTGCTGCATTGTCCATCATCTGTGAAATAACTTCCAGTGCAAACAACCATACAGTGTATTCTGTAATAACGTGTGCAGAAACAATTGTACAGGAAATCCATACTTTGTTATGTATCAGAGCTCCAGATAAGCTGCGTATCTGCGTAAAATACGCATCAAAAATGCAGAAATATGCAGTAAAATAAAATCCAAGCGTAACAAATACGCAATGAACATTACAGATTCCCTACAAAAATAAAACTTGTGCGTATCATCGAAATATTGTGAAGTAACCCTGCGTATTCGATTAGCAAATCAGCACCTTATTTTGAAATTATAAACAGACATTCCGTCAACCTTGCCAAACTCCACGATGACAGTTACATCATGATCATTTGCCATTACACTTTCTTGTGGAAGTATCGTGTGTTGTTTAGTCCTATAAAGCTCTCGAACCCACACGACACCAGTTTGCAGGGACTAGATGAGTGGTGTATTTAAATATTTAACTTAAATACCCACATGTGTAAAAACTAGTGGGTAACAGAAATTTGAATACCCAGATAGAATTACTGATACCCAAAGATTTTAAAATGCATGGGTAAAATACCCACAACACCAAAAGCTTATCTGGAGCTCTGATGTATATTGCAACATACTGGGTGAAAATAAACATTCAAATAATATTTTCTGTTCTTTGCAATGTAATCAGATCCACTAATGTATTATTTCATGTGCTATAGATATATATTGTATAGGTTAGGTTTGTTGTTTAACGCCGCACTCAGCAATATTCCAGCTAAATGACGGCTGTCTGTAAATATCAAGTCTGGACCAGACCATCCAGTGATTAATATCATGAGCATCGATCCACACAATTGGGATCGATGACATGCATCATATGTAGAAGTATTCTCCATCATTTGGACTGAAGTAAATGGTGAAAATATTCATAATTTGATTATGAAATGGAAAGGAATTCTATCTTAACTGCTTTTTGAAGTAATTATCTATGTATTGTACAGCATATGTCCTGGTAGTGATCATTCTATGTGTTCAACTTATAGTTAGATACAGGAGTTATCTAAAAGATGTCCTAAATGCTGAAATTTATGTCACTGCCAGACTAATTGTGTACTATTTAGAACTCCAACTAAACGTAATTGGCTCAAATAAATGTTACTAAACTTGGGCTTCAGCGTGGTGATAGATTTTGCTCTACAAACAGTATTACTTGTGTGCTGTATTAGTGTGGTAGTGTGTTCCAAGCATGTCAACTCTCTGTAGAAGATCACTAGATTCAATGCTCTTTCCTTGTTATGAATGTTCTCATAGTTATTTATTCTTGTTACTAATTTCTCTTTTGATGGTGTTGATAAAACAATATGCCTCTCGGGCTAAAAGTTTGGTGGTAAAACTATTGCCAGCTGGTGGTTGAACAACAACTATCGCCAGCTGGTGGTTGAACGACAACTATCGCCAGCTGGTGGTTGAACAACAACCATTTCCAGCTGATGGTTGAATGACAACTATCGCCAGCTGCTGGTTGAACGACAACTATCGCCAGCTGCTGGTTGAACGACAACTATCGCCAGCTGGTGGTTGAACGACAACCATTTCCAGCTGATGGTTGAACAACAACCATTTCCAGCTGATGGTTGAACAACAACCATCGCCAGCTGCTGGTTGAACGACAACTATCGCCAGCTGCTGGTTGAACGACAACTATCGCCAGCTGCTGGTTGAACAACAACTATCGCCAGCTGCTGGTTGAACGACAACTATCGCCAGCTGGTGGTTGAACGACAACTATCGCCAGCTGCTGGTTGAACGACAACTATCACCAGCTGCTGGTTGAACGACAACTATCGCCAGCTGGTGGTTGAACGACAACTATCGCCAGCTGCTGGTTGAACGACAACCATTTCCAGCTGCTGGTTGAACAACAACTATCGCCAGCTGCTGGTTGAACGACAACTATCGCCAGCTGCTGGTTGAACGACAACTATCGCCAGCTGGTGGTTGAACGACAACTATTGCCAGCTGGTGGTTGAACGACAACCATTTCCAGCTGATGGTTGAACGACAACCATTTCCAGCTGGTGGTTGAACAACAACTATCGCCAGCTGCTGGTTGAACGACAACTATCGCCAGCTGCTGGTTGAACGACAACTATCGCCAGCTGCTGGTTGAACGACAACTATCGCCAGCTGCTGGTTGAACGACAACTATCGCCAGCTGCTGGTTGAACGACAACTATCGCCAGCTGCTGGTTGAACGACAACTATCGCCAGCTGCTGGTTGAACAACAACTAAAGTACTCACGGAAATGGAAAAAAACTGGGTTTTTTTTCGACCTCCGATCTTAAATAAATGCAGTTAATATACAAAATATGTAAATATTCAAACAACTCAATTAGTTCTAATTGGGCCTTCGCACAAATACAGCGTATCAAAGGTTTTTATGCCTTTTTACAAGTAAAAGTGTGTAAAAATGTGAATAAAACAGACTATTGTGAAACAGGGCATAACCAGGTGTAAGTAGATCAAGGTGACCTGTGACACCTTGATGACAGGTGAGAACAGGTGCATAATGCCTATAGTCTGTTTCTGCCTATAGTTTTATTTTTGAATGTTGAAAGTGCCGACAAATTACCTCCTGTAAAGTACATTTTGTATTGTTCACTGAGATCAAACTAGTAAATCCAGACTAGTACTTTTCGAGTTGTTTTGTTATTTCGTATTTACTGCGACGTAACACTTTGTGTCGATTTTTAATTGAGAAAAACAGGGTTTTTTTCATTTCCATGAGTACTTTAATGCCAGCTGGTGGTTGAACAACAATGGGATGACTGCGGTCTTCCAGGCCCTGTTATACTTGGTAGAAGGAGGGTGTTTAGCTGGTATACTATTGGCGTCTACTACTGGGATGACTGCGGTCTTCCAGGCCCTGTTATACTTGGTAGAAGGAGGGTGTTTAGCTGGTATACTACTGGCTTCTACTACTGGGATGACTGCGGTCTTCCAGGCCCTGTTATACTTGGTAGAAGGAGGGTGTTTAGCTGGTATACTACTGGCGTCTACTACTGGGATGACTGCGGTCTTCCAGGCCCTGTTATACTTGGTAGAAGGAGGGTGTTTAGCTGGTATACTACTGGCGTCTACTACTGGGATGACTGCGGTCTTCCAGGCCCTGTTATACTTGGTAGAAGGAGGGTGTTTAGCTGGTATACTACTGGCGTCTACTACTAGGATGTCAGTTGACATGAGGAGACTGCCCCAATGATGTTGCATCTGGTACAAGCTGCTTTTAGGTTCCCTGTTTTTACTGTACCATTTTTCATTCAGTAGATTTAGATTTTACATTTGGAATTTTCTGTCCAACCCCATACAAGTCACTGGAGTTGCACCAAGGTGTAATAGGAAATGAAGTAGTAGTTTGGAAGGTGGTCATGTTCTGCCTGCTTTCTGTGGGCAGGAACATTCATCCTTCTACAGATACCATCAATACAAGATGTGAAAGCAGTCCCTGGCTGTATTGATGTGCAACTAGAGTACTGATTGACAGTTGTTTGCTACCTGACAGTGTGTTGGTGTTGTCCTAACATTGTGATGTCAGCACAGTAGTACTAATAGTCTGATGTTGATGAAGTGTAAACCTTGATGTAACTCCGCCAGACAGCTTGGCCATGTGTTCCTGCAGCCTTCCCAGTCAGTTCCTCTTTTGCTTCTTGAGGTTTGATTTGCTTCATGTGGTGATAGAATGAAAAACAGATCAATTCTTGACATTTATTTTTGATAATGATTTTCTTGCTGATTTCGTATTGATCTATTATGTAAGTTAAGACTAGATGTGTAGAAGACATGAGGTGTTAATGTTCTGTGTGCTCTGTATGCCTAAATGAAAGTTTTCTGTCAGACATCTAAGTTTGTTGTATCTGTTAAGATCGCTATTCACTATATTACAAAGTTTTAGTTACCATGGTTACAGTTCCTATCCATTTCCAGGGGGCGCGGAGGGAGGGGAGTTAACCGGAGTCGAGGAAGAGGACGTTTCCAGCGAGGTGGAAGGTTCCAAGGTCGTGGTGGTCGTGGCAGGGGTCAAGGTCGTGGCGCAGGTCGTGGAGCAGGTCAGACCCCGATGTCCCGGGAGGAGCTGGACAACCAGCTAGAGGAGTACATGTCCAAGACCAAGACTCACCTGGACACAGAGCTGGATGCTTACATGGCCGAGGCCAGCTGAGGTGGACAGTGCTTCGAGACTAGAGACTTATAATGACTTGGGTGGTTGGGGATGAAGTGGAACCTGCACAGAACACGTCCATGCTGATACACCTCAAGTATCTCAATAAAACCATGATGGAGCTTTCTTCACGTGGGACAGTGCATTGTGTGGGCACGGTGTGAAGGGCGGCAAGGCCGGCTATAGTGTTGTAACAAGTAGCTATTATCTTAATTTCCATTGAGTTGCTGACAGTCTTCTGTTTGTGTGTTCCCGTGTGCTGAGGCCTGTGTCCCTGTTGGGTTGGAGGGGAGGGAGCCAAGAGGAAATGAACAAACCAGTAAATAAACGGCAGCAATTGCCTTGACATTTAAGTATTCATGTGACATTGACCAACTACTGCTGTGTGTGCACTCGACAGAATCAACTGAGTGATGGGCTAAACAGGGAGTCTATTAGCACGTCTTTGCTTAGATCCTTTGAACATTTATAAGGAAATATTGGGATGTTTGTAACTAATTACTTATGATTAGATGTGTGAAAACCATGTCGCACTGTCAAGCAAATGTATTGTGTTGTAACCATCCTCACTGCCATCATTTATATTGTTTAAACCTGCATGAAATATTGGCTGAATGTCAACTATTTAGTGATTAGTTGGAAGATGATACTGTAATCAACATTAAACAAGTTCTGTAGTGATCACGTCAGTTTGAAGTATAGCAGTACCTGGAGTTCCTCTGCGGCGGACCCTTGTAATCCAACCAGCTGTGGAACAACTCACACAGTTTTATATCTTTGTTTCCCTGTCAGTGTCGGTGTTGTCATTTGTATTCATAATACATCATGTATTTATTGCCATTTGATTTTATATATGTTTATTCTGTAGCTGGTGAAGCTGTGTGTCAAGGAAGCATTTGTTTTTTAATACAATCACTTAGGAGTGAAACCTTTTTTTAATTTTACATGTTGGTGTCAGTGATAGTTTAGTTGTAAACTTTCTCTAGTTCAGTGGTGTTATGTTAAAGTCAGGAGTGGAATTTCCCACTTATTACACTTGGGACTAGTCTTTCATGCAGCATAAACTGTTTCTGGATAGAGAACTAGTCCTCACTGTTTTTCGCTTGTCTTGAACTGGTGGCTGTTGAGCACTGGTTGTTCTATGCTTTCTTAAGCTAAACATGTACTTACTTTGATAACGGTCAGAATCACCATCTGAATCTATGAACACATGTATGTCTTGTAAATGTGTTCACGAAGCCACAATATTTCGGTCTTGTATAGCGAATATGAGGAGTGGTTGCTATATCTTGACTAACTTCATAGATTAGCTCTCAACTGCAGTCACCAGACAGATAAGCAGAAAGGTAACTGAAATATTAAAATGTTCCCCCTTGTGGTTTTGAGCAGACTGAACAAACTCCTGCTACATCACAAGCAACAGTCGTCTGCCAGGCAGCCAGCCCACAGTCTGGTTGTGAAGTGTAGGACTTGCGTGACTGTGTACGTTCACTGTTCAGAGACCTTGTTTTACATACATACTCTTCCTGTTTGTAGATAATGTACAGAAATCATCATTTCTTAAATAAAGGAAAACATGAATGCCTAATGTGACATGTCGACACTTGTTGGTTTATTATTGCTGCGTCACCATGAAGACAAATGGACCATGCTACTGCAGGAACAGTCTCTTCATCCTTTTCAGATGCTGTTTCCTGATGCTCAACAAGTATCAGTGTGAGAAAGTGAATAATTATTAAACAGCTACACCGCATTTATCTTTCAAACAACTCGGCCTAATCTTGCCTGGTACAGAGATACTTGTTTCTGATTTGTTCAGTATGGGCATGTCTTTCCATGTATTGTGAAAGGCGACTATACTTGTCGTAAAACGCGACTAAAGGGATCGGGTGGTCAGGCTCACTGACTTGGTTGATACATGTCATCAATCCCAATTGCGTGGATCGATGCTCATGATATTAATCACTGGATTGTCTGGTCCAGACCTGATTATTTTACAGACCGCCGTCATATAGCTCGATTATTGCTGTGTGTGGCATTAAACAACAAACCAACCAACAAACCATGTATTGTGCCTACAGATTAGAAAACCAATTCATAATCTCTGCTGGGAAATGCCGAGCTTCTCAAAATGGACACAATTATGTTATCACATTATCTTGAAACGGAAAACCTATGAAATGCATGTTGGTGAACTAAATCCAGAATAGGCGATTGTGAAGCAAGCGCCGATAACTCTGAATGTGTTTACGTTGTCTGTCTTCTGACAGGATGTGACAACATTTTAGATAAACGAGCTAAACATGTGGGCAATATAAATTTCTCAGTGTATCCCTCAGGGTATATGGTGTGATATTCCCATTGTGTGATAATCACCATTTTCAATGACACCAGGCATTGTGACCAAGTGATCACCATTTTCAATGACACCAGACATTGTGACCAAGTGATCACCATTTTCAATGACACCAGGCATTGTGACCAAGTGATCACCATTTTCAATGACATCAGACATTGTGACCAAGTGATCACCATTTTCAATGACATCAGACATTGTGACCAAGTGGTCACCATTCCCAATGACACCAGGCATTGTGACCAAGTGATCACCATTTTCAATGACATCAGACATTGTGACCAAGTGATCACCATTTTCAATGACATCAGACATTGTGACCAAGTGATCACCATTTTCAATGACATCAGACATTGTGACCAAGTGATCACCATTTTCAATGACATCAGACATTGTGACCAAGTGGTCACCATTCCCAATGACACCAGGCATTGTGACCAAGTGATCACCATTTTCAATGACATCAGGCATTGTGACCAAGTGATCACCATTTTCAATGACATCAGACATTGTGACCAAGTGATCACCATTTTCAATGACATCAGACATTGTGACCAAGTGATCACAATTTTCAATGACATCAGACATTGTGACCAAGTGGTCACCATTCCCAATGACACCAGGCATTGTGACCAAGTGATCACCATTTTCAATGACATCAGACATTGTGACCAAGTGATCACCATTTTCAATGACATCAGACATTGTGACCAATTGATCACCATTTTCAATGACATCAGACATTGTGACCAAGTGATCACCATTTTCAATGACGTCAGACATTGTGACCAAGTGATCACCATTTTCAATGACATCAGACATTGTGACCAAGTGATCACCATTTTCAATGACATCAGACATTGTGACCAAGTGGTCACCATTCCCAATGACACCAGACATTGTGACCAAGTGATCACCATTTTCAATGACATCAGACATTGTGACCAAGTGATCACCATTTTCAATGACATCAGACATTGTGACCAATTGATCACCATTTTCAATGACATCAGACATTGTGACCAAGTGATCACCATTTTCAATGACACCAGGCATTGTGACCAAGTGATCACCATTTTCAATGACACCAGACATTTTGACCAAGTGATCACCATTTTCAATGACATCAGACATTGTGACCAAGTGATCACCATTTTCAATGACATCAGACATTGTGACCAAGTGATCACCATTTTCAATGACACCAGACATTGTGACCTAGTGATCACCATTTTCAATGACGTCAGACATTGTGACCAAGTGATCACCATTTTCAATGACATCAGACATTGTGACCAAGTGGTCATCATTTCGTGGGTTCTTATGACAAGCAACGAGGAGTCGCTAGGATGTGTAAATTAAAGTCATCACCTATAACTGAGTAGCGTAAGGGAGAGTTCCACTGATTGACGGTGTCTCCAAAGTGAGTGAAAACCTTCGCTACACCGGGAAAGAGAAGAGAACTCACGAACAAACTATATTCAAATGCTGGTAACTGACCTGTTACAGAGGGCACGGGTGGCCCAGTCGTCTAAGGCGCCGCAAATCGCTGTACAGAGTTGCGTCCCTTGGAAACGCCAGAAACCTATGACTGTTGGTTTGACTCCCTGTTTGCCCCGATCATGTTTCTAGGTTTGTCCGCACCATACCCGTGCTCGTGGGTTTCACCGAAGTGGTGAACATCTGAGACCTGCATCACTTCGGGGTTTCCTCCCCCATTAAGCTGACACGCCGTGATATAACTGTAATACTGTTAAAAACGGCGTTAAACACAACTCACTCACTCACTCACTCACTCACTCACTCACTCACTCACTCACTATCATGACAATGTTCAATGTTATATCAAGTCTGGGCCAGACCATCCAGTGATAAATATCATGAGCATCTCCTCCCACATCAACGCCAGAGAACAGATTCCATTGGGCGTAAAAGACAAAATAGCGATGAAAATTATATAAATGGATCACTGAATATCAGTTCGACGTAGAACTATGATAAGGCGAGAAACATTTAAGCATACCGCTGCCTGAATCTGAAAGTAAACCTATTGGACATCAACACAGATGTAACCTGTGAAGATGCAGGGTAGACTAGGTCTTCAGCAACTATTCTTGTCGTAAGAGGCGACTTACGGGATCGGGTGGTCAGGCTCGCTGACTTGGTTGATGCATGTCACCGTATTCCCATTGCGTGGATCAATGCTCATGATATAATTTCCCATCGGCCTGTTTCTATTCGTAGTTTGTGCTTACCAGTTCCAGAAACAGTAAAAGTTTAGAGATATGATCAGGGAAAAGTAAATATTATATATTATCCTGTTCAAAAGAACAACACTAAATATTGGAAACATTTGGACACTTTTAATTTAGTCTTGCAAATGTACAGACATCTATCACATGACAAATGATTTCAAATAGTTCATTTCTGTAATTCATTTTCAATGTACAATACAAAAAGACATGCTTAATGATATCATGAGCTACAATTCTACATCGACATTCCCTAGATTCTATATTTATCCCAGCCGTACAAGATGAGGCAGGTTTTGGAACTGTTCCTGACGTTCAAGTGCAAGCAGCCAGAGTCTGTGTTCTTTATCATTACGAAGCGAGACATATCTATTTAAGTTAAGTCTAGATAGCAGCTTAGAGCATACAGCTTCCTGGTCTGCAGAAATAATCCTTTCCTTAACAACATCAGACCATGCCTTTTTAAGCTACATTTAATTAGATAATCTTCTATTTCTGCATAGAGATTGTATCTTTTGACAAGTCTACGCATGTTATATACAGGTGACAAAGCACATCGTTTTCTGAAGTTATCCAACGCTATTTCGTATCTAAACTGCCCAAGGCGAGTAATGAATACCTTTTTAAAAACATAGCTGTAACGTTGAATAACTTCCAGCATATCGTATTCTTTGAGGGTTAATAGTCCCCAGACATTACACCCATAGAGCCCGCATGGGAGTATCACTCGTTCCCAGATCCTTTTTGCTGGGATTGGATTCATGCCTCCAAACTTTAGTCCAGTATCATTATTACTATTTATTAACATTTTTAACTTTTCACAAGCTAATTGTGTTCGTTCTAAGGAAGACTTAACAGAGCTAATCCTGACACCTGCATATATTATAGATTGCTGAAGTGGAACACACATACTGCCCAAGTACAGTGATTGAGAGCAGGTAAATTTACGCTGCACATCAAACATTAGAACAGTAGTATTCGTCATGTTTTACCCGTGATACCAAGGTCATAAAGTTTTAGAAAAAGTCCATCTAGCCATAACCTGTCGGAGGCTTTTTGATTATCTAGAAATGCACAGTAGACTGGAGAACTTCTTTCATTGTAATATGCTATTGCTTCTAATAGTGTGAGGGCCGCAGTGTCTGCACCTGCATTCTTGCGAAAGCCAAATTGGAGAAGATGTGGGAAATTACAGTTGTACATTATTGCTGCATTTTGAAGGGCTGAGGTGATGTATTCATTGTAATATAAGGGTAACGCTGTTTTTCAGGGCATAATCATTTGCAGAAGCCTGAGGTCTTCCATAACAGCCCGACGAAGGAGGGCTGTTGAAAAGACCGAAGGCTTCTGCAAATGATAATGCCCTGAAAAATAGCGTTACCGTTATTATAGCTAAAATGGATGGGATTTGTTATGAAATAAAAGGAAACAACAATATCGATTTTGAAACATTTACTGCAATCAACACGATGTCACTGACCCCATTTTACAAATATGGAAATGTCATAGAACAAACCAGATGACATCACTATTGAACGTTACGTCACCTATCCGTATCCTATGACCTCACCCAACAACGGGCGTGATAATGGCCCGTCGTCAAGTAGTATGAGGGCATTATCAAGTTACAGTGGCCCGCTCATTTCTGATAACATGCGGGCGTTTTTATGATAATTCTATCCATTTTAGCTATAATATTGAATAAAGTCTACTGGCGTCTGGTAGTCTGAAATTGCAAAAACAGTATCACGAAGCCAGTTTTCTGTTTCATAACGATAAAGCATTAGATCCGTCTCAGTTGCTTTGCGCCAGTTAAGTTTATCACCTCCATATTGGCTAATAGTATAAGGGTAACGCTCTTTTTCAGGGCATTATCATTTGCAGAAGCCCGAGGTTTTCCATTAACTGCCCGACGAAGGAGGGCAGTTGAAAAGACCGAGGGCTTCTGCAAATGATAATGCCCTGAAAAAGAGCGTTACCGTTATTATAGC